ATTATATAAAAAGTACAAATAAATGTGTTATCAATACTTGAGACTTGAGAGCAGCCTATGTAGAAAATTCCATGTCCACTATTGATCAAATCAAATGTAGTAACTTAATTACATTTTTTCCAGCAGCCCACTTAGAAATTTTTGTATCCTACTCCATTGGTTACAACAAATACAATATAGTAATATAGCAATTCGTCTATAAGGGTAGGCTTCCAGATTTTGTCACAAAACAAATATATCTGGACAAGGAAACCAAGAAAGTTGTTAAAATAGACTATAATATTATGTGTACTGTGGGAAATAGCCATGTCATTGTCACCTACTGCATTATTGTTGTTTTTTAATTAGAACAAGAACAAATTAAAGGGAATCTTTAATTTTTTGAAATGAATAGTTTATTATCTTCCCCTTTTAGATTTTAAGTACGTATATTTTACCAAGGAATTCGTTGCTTTAAACAAAATTATAAAAGATACAAATAATTGTGATCGATTAATCGTGAACTTCATTTATCATGATCATGATGTTTGTTGATTGCTTCTCTCACTAGGTCTCCCATAGGAAATTTTAACTTCATGTGGTAGGTAGAAACGCCACTACTTCAAACGAGTTTAAGGTAGGTTGCTCCAAGTCCAAGATCACGTTGTATGCTGAGTTAACATCATTGTGTGAACTTTGTACCTCCTAATTATTGGGCCGAAGTTCACTATACGTCCCAGTATGCCAACTTGGTGTATCTCTTGCTTTGGAGCTCTAGCATATGCCTTCCGAGATCTATTGGACTCCCTATAAATAGGCTCGCTAGAATATCATGTGAATGACACCTTCTTCTGTGGTTTCTCATTCTCTTCAGTTGGCGGCCTATGTCATTTCTTTCATTCTTTTATCCGTCCAGACCTCACTTGCTATCATTGCAAACTCTTTCAAGTGTCCAGCTCGTATAGATGCACGATCTCGTCTTTTAGGTGTCTACAATCATCCGTAGTATGCACATAGTTCATATGGAAACGACGATGTAGGTTTCTCTTAGGTCATGTTGGCCCGTACTTTGGGGTCTTGGGCCAGGTCACCAAGTTGCCACTACTTCCCTTTCGTCTCTTGGGCGATTTGCTATCGGTGTCGCAGCTCTGCTTCTCTTCCACTGAGGAACTTCGAAGCGAAGCTAAGTTCAGTCAAAGAAAGGAATATTTTTTTTCCATCACCTCCAGGACCTTTGTCGGGCTCATTGCTAGCGGGGTGTATCTTCCATACCTCTGCACGTCCTTTAGAGGTTGACATTCTCACCTATCCAACCTCATTTGTTCTTTTTCCTCTCTCATGGAAGGGCTATGTTTTCTCTCCCTCTAGTCCTCTCGTGTAGCCTCAGCTTTGCTCGTCCTTTGTGGTTATACAAAATCAGCTTCCGTCTTTCCATGTTGATGTGTTTAGCACTTCTCTTCAATACTTCGTCAAAGGTGTTACCAGGTTGTTTTGACAAAGAGTTCCTACAACGCCCACGTTTCAATCCCTTCGTCAATCCTCCAGATTTTATTTCCTCTAATGTTATGGGTACGTGAACCCAAGCCCTCGTGTATCGAGCTAAGTACTCTCTCAGTGATTCATCCTCCTTCTGTTCATCCCTATCAACATCAAAAAATTATACTTAAATGCCTTCGCACTCGCGAATTGCTGAATGAAGCTAAAGTTGAATGCCTCACTGAATCATCCTCCTCAAAATTAATTGAGGAACTCGGATTGTCTTCACCACGTTTAACGTGGGGTATCCCTGCTCATTTCTGCAGTCTGTGTACCTGTTACCAGCATAGAATTATTTGGCGGGTCCTGCTAACCTCAGTGACTCTACCCATCAAAAGTTTAACGGGATTTAGCGGGGGTATCATGGGGGGTCGTTTGTCCGCCCTGAATTCCTGAAACTCCTCGGATAGGTTTCTCTTCAGTGGTTCTTTGTTGACCATCTCGTCATTGTGGAGTAGAGATAGCGAAAATTCTTTAATTCC